TGACAGATGGGGGCATAAACTCAGATTTCAGTTCCTGGGGGATGACAGTTACATACTCTCTTTTGATTGCTGTCCAACTGTTTCTCCAACAAAAGATTTTTTGTTTTTTTTTTTTATGTTTTTTATAAGTATATGATTTGAAGGCTAGAGAGAAAACAATAAGAATGACGACAAAAACAACACTTTAAAGTTCACAAAGCCCTTCTGTGCATGATCTTAGGGTACAAGCTCCTAAAATTACAGGTTTGGTCACATCACATTCTGTCTCAAGAAATTTCCATGGCTCCCTATTACCTCTAGGATAAAATACAACAAACTTTTCTGTTGGGCATTTGAAGGCCTTCAGAACGTGGCTCCAAACCCTCTTTCCATACTGACAGTCCCCTTCACAAACTCTATGAGCCATACTAAGCTTTCACGGCTCGGGAAAACGTCCACCGTACCCAAGATGTATTTCCCAAGTTCCTCGCATTCTACGTATACCCTGTCATCGCCATCACCCTCTCCACGTCATCATCATTTTGTATTTACTTTAAGAAGATTTTGCATGGACTCTTTTGTGTCTGTGTTGTTTCCCACCCCCCAGAATATAAGCTCTTTGAGGACGGGGGCTGCTCGGTTTCCTCTCCTTGCAGTTAATATATGATATATTGCCTAGCACAGGGCCTCGCACATATCAGGTTAATAAATATTTGTAGGATGAATGAAGCTCATTTGCCCATATCAGTCTGATACTTATTAGCCTTCAGAGTCAGAGGGGACAGAGACATCTGTGCAGTTAAAATGGTTTACTGCATCTCAGACCGAGAAGAGAAGCACGTTAACTGGAGAGTGGTAATATCTTCCCCTCTTTGAGAAGGAGCCAGTGTATAGGGTGAGCCAAACTGACAGATACCAGCCTGAGTCTCTAAGGAGGGGCAGGACACGGCAGAACACGTGCTTCCTGCGAACATATGAAGGGCCAGTAAGAAGAGAAAGATGCTAACTCATTACTGGCCAAAAATGATCCACACCTCTATGCAGTAAGATACATAAAATTTTATTGCCCAAAAACCTTTTTAAAAAGTGTATGCCAAAAGGGATGGTGGTGGGAAGCAGGTTAAGTGTGGAAGCTGGAGACTGAAACACTTTTTCTCTCTCTTGATCCAGGACCCGATTCAACACCGACTCCCCAGCCACATTTGCTTGAGGTGGGCAGACTCTGGAGACACACACAGTACATTTCGTGTATCTACTTCTAGGCATGCACAAGGAGGGGGCACACAGACGCTCCTATCTCCTTTAAGCATTAATTTGGCCATAAGTCTGGAAAATGTTCGTGGTCAAAGAGTTGTAGGGCTCTGAAATCATCTGGCTTTTATTAGCAGGTTAATTCTGCCACCGCTGTCTTGAGAGCCTGCTATTCGTAATCTGGCATGGGCTGGATCCAGCGGGCTGGGTTCTGAAAAGAGGGACTGTCACATGCTGAACAGGCTTGGTCTGGTCATTTGAGAACAAGATTGATAATTATCATGCTTTTGCCCAAGGTCAGTTACTCGGTCACCAGCTAGGACACGGCTTTATCTCTTTGTGTCTCTATTTCCACTTGAAAAATGGGAATCCAGGGGCAGCTAGGTGGCACAGTAGATACAGCACTGGCCCTGGTCAGGAGGACCTGAGTTCAAATCCGGTCTCAGACCAAACACTTGACACTTAACTAGCTATGTGACCCTGGGCAAGTCACTTAATTCCAACTGCCTTAAAAAAAAAATGGGAATCCTATCCCTACTTGCCTCTCAGAAAGGCAGCTAACTTCCCTAACATGTATACATACTTACGGTGCTCCTCAGGCATGAGGTCCCTAGAGGATGGTGTTATCAAGACAATGGCGGCTATAATTAAGATTAGTAAAAGAAAAGTCAGAGAGACAGTGTCCTAGGTAGATGAGTATGGAAAACCCAGCCAGCCATGATGGGAGGGGAAAGGAACTTCCCTGCTGAATAAGGACAAAAGAAGAGGCAAGGGGGACTCAGAAAACTCTCCCGAAAGCACGGTGGGGTCTGCATATACCTCTTTTCCTTAAGCTTTTAGGACTTGTAAGCCACGGTCCCCAGGAAGGAATTACCTTAATACCCATCGCCCTTGCTGCTTCCAGGCCTCATGGTAATTCAGAGTTGGAAAGGTCCTCAGAGGTCACTTTGACCCCTCATATCCCAGCAATGGTAACGGAGACCCAGAGAGGAAGAGACTGTTCAAGATTAGACAGGTAAGTACCAAGAGCTGGGATTCAAACCTAGATCTCTAGCTCCTAATCTAGTGTTCTTCAGCTACTCCATTTAACAAGCATTTCTTACATGCCTAAGGATGACAGGTGAGAGGCAAGACAGAGACTTGGGCTTGAGTCCCACGGGTGACTCATAGTGGCTGGGTGACCCTGGGTAAGGGCCCGCAACCTGTGCCTCAGAAAAGTCTGTTGTGGAGAAGTTGTTGGGAGAGGAAACTTCTCACTCGTAGCTCTTCACATCGATGAAATCACAGGGATGGTGAAAAAAAAATACCAGGAATAGGGGATGAAGATGAAGACACACACACACACACACTTTTACATGCAACTACGGACAGCAAACATGTACACAGATAAGGAAAAACAAGATAATTTGGAGGAAGTGAAAGGCTTGAAAACGATAGATCAGGAAGTCCTGCAGGTGGTGGTACGTGAACTAGGCCTTAAAGGTAGCTAGGAATAGGTGAAGGTAAAGAAATGCATTACAGGCCCAGGGTTCAGCTTTAGAAAATGCACAAAGGCAAGGGACAGGAGGGAGAGTTTGGGCCAGTATGGTTGAAACAGAGTGGTGAAGGGGCATAAGGGGAAACACCTGGAAGGAAAGTGGGACCCAGGCTGAGAAGGCTTTGAATGTCAGGAGATAACAAATACGAAATGCTATGAAAAAATTTAAATTTCTTTATGTGTCAGTTATTACTATATTTCTTTTCTAGAAGCAATTTGAGAGCCCTCAAAGATCTCTGAATAGGAGAGTGAGATGGAAACCCTTTGTCGAGGGATACTGATCTGACAGCTGTGTGGAGGATAGAGCACAGAGGAGAGATAGTGGAAGAAGGGAGGACATTGTGTTAGTCCAGGCAAGAGGAGAGGAGAGCCTGAACTGGAGCTCTGGCCATGGGAGTGGAGAGAAGCGGGGGGAGGGGGGGGAGGGGACTGCAAGGGGGCCGTACAGGTAGAAGCATCAAAATCCAGCAAGTGCCTGGAGAGTGATAGAGAGACTGGGGATGGGAAGGAGGGAGGGAGAGAGAGAAGGAGAGAGAGGGAAAGAGGGGAAAACAGAAAGAGGGGGAGACAGAGAGGGAAGGGTGGAGGGAGAGGAGAGAGAGGGAGAGAAGGAGGGGGGAGGGGGGAAAGGGAGAAGGGGAGACAGATAGGAAAAGGAGGAGGGAGAGGGGACAGAGGGAGGGAGGGGCAGAAGGAGGGGGAAACAGAGAGAGAGGGAAGGATGGAGGGGGAAGGAGAAACAGAGACAGAGAGACAAAGAAAGAGAAAAGTCAGGGGTGACTGGGGCTTTGATCAGGAGGCTCTGAACCTGCTGCCAAGCCTTCCACTCCAAGGCACCATAGCTAACTCGCTGGCATGGGCATGACCAAGGCTTTCCAGTTCTGCCGCAGAATGCCGTGGGCTCCCACGGCACTCACATGTTATGGAGAAAGGGAGGCAGACTTCCTGGTGCAGCCCCAGACTCCTGACACCCTCCTATCGGGGGTTTCTAGTCACTGTGGTTTCGGCGCTTTCACATAACCTCAGAAATCACTCCCAACTTGTTTAAAAATTGAGGAAGCGAATGCAATCCAACAATGTCTCTATCTGCACATCTGTCGAAACTCAGGCTGTCAGTCTTCCATCACTTCTTGTTGCAACTGTCTGCCCCGGGACTGTCAGATTTTGTGGGGGGGGGAAGATTCCTTCCTCCTCCTCCTCCAATGCTACAATTCATCTGCTCTTGTGTATATATAGCTTCTGCTGCCCCCGGGCCATCCAATATCTCTCCCTACTGCTGAGAATGGATATAAACATTTGTTATTCTTCTGACATCCAGGCAGCCAAAATACTTTTCTAAATGTGGCACGGTCCCTGTTGCTCGACAGCATCACTCGGCGGTGGGTAAACTCGGCCTTCATTAGCCTGCGTCCCCAATTGCACAATTTAGAGGACGGAGCACGCTCCATGCTTGCTAGTAATTAGTCAAAAGGAGGAAGAAGTCTTTCTAGAGCATCACTTTGCTTTGTAACCTGTTCCAATCACTGGCGCATATAAATATTAAATGCAAAAAGCTCCATTAAAATAACATTAGGCCTCCGTTTGAAACACTGGGAACAGGGCAGCTGCCTCCACACAGCCTCCGTGGTCTTCATCTCAATACCAGGGGATCCCAGGGGATCTCACTCAGGCGATGGGGGGTTCTGAACACCGCCCAGGAAGGCTGCCAGATCAGCTGCCCCACATTCTGGCTTTCTCCCCGGTGGCCGGGCCTCACCCTTTACTGCAGGGAGGACTGACTTTCAGAGGGCAGCCTGTGACAAAGACAAATGCCCCTGCAGGAGGAGGCTGGGATGCTGGGGAGGTTATCAAGTGAAGCATCAGAGGGGTCAGGGGAGCAGTGAAGTCTGTCACCGACCTCCCAGGACTCTAGTGGTGGCATCTGCACTTCCCTTTAATAGGAACTGCATGCCCTGCTGTGCTTTCGCCTCTTCCATAAACACACATTTGGGGTAAACATTCCTATAATATCAAGCAATTAAAGTCTTCCCCAATTAACAAAGAGGGGAGCAAGTTACCTGTGCATGGAAATGGCTTTTTATCCTAACAAATGAATTTTTCCATCCTTCAGCATAAAAAAGACCCCTTAGAAGCACTTAATACCTCAATAACCAAACCCACTTTACGATGGCGTTTTCATAAACATTTACTATGATTTTAGAGTAAACAGTAGCGTCAGCAAGTTTAGACTCACTTGTTTAGCTGCGGGCAGAGAGATGACTTTGCTGTCCACAAGGCTGAGAAGCTCGGCCAGTGAAGAAGGTGAGATTGGACTGGGGTGAGAAAAAAGAGAAAGCAAATGAATTTCCACATTGCCTTTGCATCCATTACTCCTCACCTTCCCCTTTCTATCTCTCTCTCTCTCTCTCTCTCTCTCACACACACACACACACATATATCACATCACAACTCTCCATTTTATTGGTTTCAATAACTGTATACCAGGGGTGAAAATAAATAGGCCAACTGTTCTCTCTGCGTTTTTGTAGTTTCAAATGCAAGTTTTAGTGTGTAGAGTTGGCTCTTCTTTATTTCCCTGCCTAACAATGACAGCTGTTTGCCAGAAGTTAGACCATGGATTTCTCTCTCAACAACAAAGTGCTTGATTTAATTAGGAGAAAAAAAAAAAAGCAAGGGGGAGAAGGTGCAAAATTCATGAACCTTTCACAAGAAAGGAAAACAGTCAGCAATTAAGTATTTTCAGTTTGAACATCAGTTTGAAAATGATTGAATAATTTAAGGGCTTGAAAATTTTGTTGGTGTGGGTGGTCCCTTTACCAATGTGGCTGACACTCTTCCATGATGGAACAGACTCTGTGTGAGCTGCTGAGTCCTGAGAATTCAGACCCATACTCACACCTGCCTATGGGCCAAGCTGCTGATAAGCTTCTCTATTCTTAATTGGGCTGCTCAGTGGGCAACAGATACAGGCATCCCTGGGCCCTTTCTAGCGTGGCAGGTAGGACCTTTCAGAACCTCCATTCTGCTGGCATCATCTTCAAGGACCCAAGTCCATCCTCCAGAAACAGAGGAAGCCCCAGGGAAGGGCTAACAATCTGCAGATACTGCAGATGACATTTTGTAAGCATTTGTGGTTAGTTAGTCAATAGGCATTAAGTGTGTACCAAGTGCTACAATGTGAGGTTTTTCTCATTCTGTCCAAACTTACCTTTTCAGGTACTGTGCTATAAGTATTGGGGCTACAAAGAAGTTGGAAAATATTTCAGGGAAAAAAAGCTAATAATGTCGACATGCTGTATGCTTTTGGATCATGACGTTGGATTCATTTTTATTATTATTATTTTTTAAATTAAGTAAGGTTAAGAACTAATGTGTTTTTACAGAGCCATTATGTACCTTAAGTCATCTAGTTCAACTCCCTTATTTTACAGATTTGGAATCTGAGGCCTCCAGAAGCCAAGTGACTTGCCAAAGGTCACACAGTCACAACAGACCTCAGAAAGTATTACCTAAAGGGCCAACACTATTTCTTTACTATTTTTGCCAGGGCAAATATTGTCATAATAACACTGACATATCCTCAATCAGTTTCACATTCATCTATCAACCTTGTCATGAGTCCCAAGCTTTTTAGATATTAATTATTTTTACTTCAGTAATGTGATTTGATATAAGGAATATAATGAATTATTTAATTTTTTTAAACTTTTATATAAACACTTAAATTTGGTTTTGTTATGGAGTTAATAATTCTGACGTAGCAACTCACTCAATGTAGTAATAATAATAACTCAAACATACTTCTGAAGCACTCTGAAGTTTACTGAAAAGCTTCCCTCGGAATAACCCTGCAAAATATGTAGAGGGTTTATTTCTATCCACATTTTAAAGATAAGGACACTGAAGTACAAAGTGGTGAAACTGACTTCCTTATGGTCACACAGGTGAGAAGTGTCAGGGCCAAAATACAAACTTAAGTATCTGGACTTCATAGAACAAGCTTCATTAGTTCAGATGATTACTGAAGCAGGTCTGTTTGAATGAGTTAGGAGTATGGATTACTGAATATTTTTAAAAGAAATGTTGTTTCCTCAGGACCCAAGATGGTGGACCAGACATAGGGCTTCTTAAACTTTTTCCCCTGGTGACCCCATCAGCACTTCTTAAACTGTGGGTCATAACTCCACAGAAGCACCAAAGGAAGCCAAGTTCTCCCAACATTTCTCTCCAAATAATTTAAAAATAAAGTTTCAAATCAAATTCTGGAGCAGCAGAGCCAACAAAAGATTAGGGTGAGTCATTTTTCTAGCTCAAGACAACTTAAGAGGTTGGAAGGAAAGGTCTGCGACACAGGGGTGGGGCCTGATGCCCATGTGGTGGCAATGCCGGCCCTGGGCCTTGGAGGTAGCAGTGGCAGCAGCAGCAGGACTCAGCTGAGAGATGGTAAGGGGATCTGGCAACTGGCCAAAAAGAGATTACAGCGGACCTCTGTGCTGGTACTAGGTGCAGGCTGGCAATTTCACTGCCTTATTCACTTCTGGGTCCTCACAATTTGAGGGTGGAGAGGAGCACTTTCAGTCCCAAAGGAGCATTAGTGCTTGTGGTTGTAAGGGATCAGGGGACCTTCCTGGGTAAGGACCAGACCATAGATGAGGAGGCTGAGCCCCGACCATACCTCTCTCCAGATCACACCACCTTGGAAGCACCAGAAACTTCCAAATCCCCAGAACTGGCTTGGAAGGCAGCAGAATGAAAAAGCCTGAAACTTGGGATAGTATCTCCCTCTCACCTACACCCCACCTCCCCTGCCCCAGGAACAGAACCCAACTTTAACATAAAGTTCAAAGTCAAGAAAAAGGCTGGAAAAATGAGCAAACAACAACAACAACAACAAAGGAACCTAACCATAAAGATCTAGCATGGTGAAAGGGAAGATCAAAAAGATGATGACAGGGGCAGCTAGGTGGTGCAATGCATAAAGCTCGAGTCTTGGAGTCAGGAGGACTCAGACGGTCTTAGACACACAACACACGAAACTTACTAGCTGGGCAAGTCACTTAACCCCGTTTGCCCAGCAAAAAGCAAAAAAAAAAAAAGATGATGACAATGTCAAAATAGCTATGAGCAAAGCCTCAAAGAAAAAAAGGTGAACTGTATATAAACTCAACAAGAATTACTGGAATAGCTAAAAAAAAATGATTTTAAAACTCAAAAAAGAGTGATAGAGGAAAAATTAGGAAAACAAATGAGTGATGCAAGAAAATTATGAAAAGACAATTAACAGTTTAGTACAAGAGGCATATGAAAATACTGAAGAAAATAACGCCTTAAAAAACAGAACTAGCCAAAAGGTAAAAGAGGTACAAAACTTCCAATGATGAAAAGAACTCCTTAAAAAGTAGAGTTGGCCAAATGAAAAAAGAGATACAAGAGATCCCTGAAGAAACTAATTCCTTAAAAATTAGAATTGAGCAGTGGAAGCTAATGACTCCACGAGACATCAAGAAACAATAAAACAAAGTTAAAAGAATGAAAAACTAGAAAATGTGAAATATCACATTGTGGAAAAACAATGTCCTGGAAACAGATCAAGGAGAGATAATCTAAGAATTACTGGACTACCTCAAAGTCATGATCAAAGAAAGAGCCAAGACATCATATTTTAAGAAAGAGCCATGCAAGGAAGAGGGGTGGGGGGTGGGGGGCAGGCAATGCTTGAACCTCACTCTCAACTGAACTGGTTTAAAGAGGGAGGAATATGTGTGTGTGTGTGTGTGCACGTGTGCATGTGTACATGCATGTATATATGTGTATGTATGTGTATTTACACCCAATTGAGTATAGAAATCTCTCTTACTCAACAGGGAAGTAGGTGGGGAAGGGGAAAAAAAGGGGTGTGTGAGATAAAAGGGAGGCAGTTTAAGGGAGGCAGTAGTTAGAAGCAAAACAGATTTTAGAAGTTAAAAAGAGAGAGAAAGATAAATAGAAGAAAATACTGGAGGGGATTGGAAAGAAAGGGGCACTAATGCACTAGTGGTGGAGTTGTGAACTACTCTAACCATTCTGGAGAATAATCTGGAACTATGCTCAAAGGGCTATAAAACTGTGAAAACCCTTTAACCAAGCAATACCACTGCTAAGTCTGTATCCTACAGAGACCAAAGAAGAGGGAAAAGGATTTGTACATAAACATTAACAGTAGCTCTTTTTGTGGTGGCAAAGAATTAGAAATTGAGGAGATGCCCATCCATTAGGGAATGGCTGAACAAGTTAAGGCAAATGATTATGATGGCATACTATTATGTTTTTAAGAAATGATGAGCATGATGGTTTCAAAAAAACCTGGCAAGATTTATATGAACTGATGCAAAGTGAAGTGAGCAGGACCAGAACACAGCACACAGTAATAGCAATATTGTAATGATGATCAATTATGAAAGACTTAACTACTCTGATTAGGGCAATGATCCAAGCCAATTCCAAAGAATTCATAATGAAAAATGCTATCTACCTCTAGAGACAGAATTGATGAACTCTGAGTAAAGATTGAAACAAACCTTTTTCACTTTTTCTTGCTTTTTTGTTTTTGCAACATGGCTAATATGGAAATATGCTCTGCATTATTTCACATGTATGACTGATATCCTATTGTTTGCCTTCTCAATGGATGATGAGGGGAAGGAGGGAGAGAATTTGGAACTCAAAATTTAAAAAGAAAAGAATGTTAAAAATAAATAAAACAATTTTTAAAAGAAATTGTGTTTCATTACTTTTAGAAAGAGAAGCAGCATGGAATGGTAGGTTGAGAGCTTGATTTGGAGTCAGAAGGACTTAGACTGTTTGACTGATTAACACTTATTGACTGTATAACCATGGGTAGGCCACTTAACCTCTAATTGCTCCAGTCTACTCTCCACCAGAGGAACTCTTCCTATTGATGATAAAATCACATGTCTCTAGAGGAGCCAAAAGTAGGCTAGCCAAATGTTGCCCACTAAAAATTATATGGGATTTGCTGTAAACGCGTAAGAATTTTTTTTTTGTAACTAGCATATGCATGCAAATGAGGGCTTCTAAAATACCTGAAGGTACTTAAAAATTTTATATTCTTAATTTAAACATTCTCCTTGATATCATATTTATAATAATTCACACAGAAAGTTGCTTCTGTAGATGTAACAAGAAATACATGTCAGTTTTTGCCTCTCTTCTAATGATCACAAATTCCAAATTGATGGAGTCGGACTTAATGAAGTTTGACTTACTCCCATCTTCAAGTACTATAAGATCTTAGTTTAGTGGTAAATTCCAG